ACTGCGACCTGAGAGCAAGGGCATGGTCTCCTGATTCCAACAGAACCCTCGAGTAGTAGCTTACTGTGTGTGAACCAAAACCTGAGGGCTAGGGTGTGCTCCACTGCCTCCAGTGGGGCTGGTAAGCAGAGGCTTACTAGGTGAGGACTGAGACCTCCAGGCAGAGTATGGTGCCCTGACTCTAACAGGGCCTGTGAACAGAGGCTTGCCAGGCAGTGGACTGAAGTTTGTACTCTCTGACAAATATCTCCCCATTTTTACTGCCCTCCTCTCTTAGCATGCACCATTCTATTCTCTGCTTCTATGATCTCTAGTCTTTTAGAATACAGAAATAAAGGTGCTGTGGCTCATGCCTGTAATCTTAAGACTCTGCGAGGTCAACTGGTAGCAACCCTTGTCAGAGGCTCCTGAGGAAAGGAAGAAAAACTGGATGGAATTGGACTCTATGGGAGTCCAAGGCAGGTGGATTGCTTGACCTCAGGAGTTTGAGACCAGCCTGAGGAACAGCAAGACCCTGTCTCTACTAAAAATAGAAAAACTGAGCACAGCACTCTACCCAGGGGGACAGCTTGAGACTCTGTCTAAAAAAAAAAAAAAAAAAAAAAAGAAAACAGAAATAGCTGATATTATACAGTATTTTATTTCCCTATTTCATTTCATTACCATAATTCCCACCTGGTTAATCCATCTATGATGTCACAAATGGAAGGATCACCTTTTTTCTGATGGTGAAACAGTGCTCGACTATACAAATATTGACTATACCCTGTCATATTGCATGGCTGGCTACTGTCCAGAGAGATTTTATATATTGTGAATAATTTGCTACAGATATAAGAGAGTAGTTACTTTTTTTGCATTACTATTTTCATTTCTTTGGTTTTATACCCAGATGTAAGATGCATGGATTGTGTGGTACTTCTGTTTTTAATATTTGAGGAGACTCATATTCTTTTCCATACAGCTGGATCAATTTACATTTTCTCTAACATTGTATAAAAGTTTCCTTTTCTGTTCAACATTTATTATCTCTTGACTTTTTGATAATAGTCATTATAGAAGGTGAAAGGTGATATCTCATTGTGGTTGAACTTCAATTTTCCTGATAAATACCGGTGTTGAGCATTTTTTCATAAATATATTTGCCACTTTTATATCTTCTGTGGAGAAATGTCTGCTCAACTTGTATGTTTTTGAGTCAGATTTACTTTTCTTTTTTGGCTACTGAGTTGTTTGCTGTCCTTCTATACTTTAAATATTATATTCAGCAGATATATTTTCTCTTAATTATTGGATTGCTCTTTTATGTAGCCTTTTATTTTGTGCAGAAACTTTTTAGTTTGATATAGTCTTACTTGCTTTTGGTTTTGGGTTTTTTTTTAATTTTCTTTTTTTTTAAATTTTTGCTTCCAACTTATCTTTGAAGGTTTTTTTTTTTTTACTTCTTCCTCCTGTAGTGTTCTAGCTGGGATCACACTGTCCGGCTGTCTTGTTGTTGTTGTTGTAGAGATGGGGTCTCACTCTGGCTCACTCTGCCTCACTCTGCCTCAGGCTGGTCTTCAGCTGGTCTGGAACTCGGCTGAGCTCAGGCGATCCACCCACCTCGGCCTCCCACAGCGCTGGGACAACAGGCCTGAGTCGCCACACCTGGCCGGTTTTGGGGTTTTTTTATTTGTACTTTTTGATGTGATTATAAGGAAACATATTACCAAGGTTATTATTAAATAAGTTGTTCTCTTTGCTTTCTATTAGAAGTTATGTATATTCTGGTATTACATTTAATATTAACCCATTTTAAGTAATTTCTGTATGTGGTATGATGTTCAGTTTTATTCTAGTGCATGCGGATAGCTACTTGATGTCATCATTTATTGAAGAGACCATCCTTTCTCCTTTGTGTATTTTGGTGGCCTTGTCAAAACTATTTGACTGTATATCTATGTGTTTATTTCTGCTTTCTCTATTCTTTTCCATTTCAGCATTTTTAAGTTTTTATGTCAATGACATACTCTTGGCTAGCATAACTTTGTAAGAGTTTGAAATCCACAAGTGTGAAGACTTCAGCTTTGTTCTTTCTCAAGATTTTGTTGAGCATTTGGAGTCATTTGTGGTTTTGTAGAAATTTTTGAATTCTTTACTATTTTTGTGAAGAATGCCTTTGGAATATTTATAGGGATTAAGTAGGGATTGTGGACTGCTTTGTATAGTATGGGCATTTTATATTATTCTTTTAATTCATGAACAAGGATTATCTTTTCATTTATTTGTGTCTTCTTTCTTTATATTCTTTAATGTCAAATTTTACTGAAAAGATCTTTCATCTCCTCTGTTAAATTGAGTCTTAAGCATTTTATAGTAATTAATTCAATTAATTTGATTATTTCCTCAAATTCTTTTTCAGATAGTTTATTGTTAGGGTACAAAAATGTGAGTTTTGAATGTTGATATTGTGACATACAACTTTAGTGGATGGATTTATTACCTGTAACTTTTTTTTTTTTCTTTTGAGTCAGTGTCTCACTCTGTTGCCCTGGGTAGAATGCCCTGGAGTCATAGCTCACAGCAACCTCAAACTCCTGGGTTTGAGTGATCCTCTTCCTTTAGCCTCCGTAGTAGCTGAGACTACAGGCATGAGCTACAGCACCAGGCTAGGTTTTCTATTTTTAGTAGAGACAGGGTCTCACTCTTGCTCAGACTGGTCTTGAACTTCTGAGCTTAAGCAGTCCATCTGCCTCATCTGGCCCAGCTGTAACTTTCTGATATAATCTTTGTAGTTTTCTAAATATATGATATCTTCATCTACAAGCAGAGAGAATTTTACTTCTTCACTTCTGATTTGAATGCCTTTTGTTTCTTTTTCTTACCTAATTGCACTGGCTTAAATAAAAGTGGTGAGATTGGGTATTTTTCTCTTGTTTCTGACACTAGAGAAAAAGTTTTTAGAAGTTCATTGTAGAGGGTAATGGTTCCAAAAGACTTGTTATGTAACCTTTCTTATGTTGAGATATGTATCTTTGTATGTATATAGTTTTAAGTTTTTATTATGAAAATGTATTGGATTTTGTCAGATGTTTTTAACTTTTTAGATGATTGTATGATTTGGATCTTTTCTGTTTTTCTGGTATTTCATTTTTATTGATTTGTATATGTTGAAACATCATTGCATTCCAAATATATATCCTATGTGTTTATGGTATATGATTTTTTCAATGTGTGGCTGAATTTTGTTTCTAGTATTTTGTTTAGAATTTCTGCTTGTATCTTCATCAGAGATAATGGTTTGTGTTCTTTCTTGTAGTGTCCTTATATGGCTTCAGTCTGAGGGTAATGATAGCCACATGGCGAGAGTTTGGAAGTATCCTCTCCCTTCTGTGTTTTGAGAGAGTTTTGGAGAAAATGACATTAGTTCTTACTTAAATACTTGACAGAATTTACTTGTGAAGAAGTCATCCAGTCTTGGGGCTTCATGTTGTTGAGAGATTTTTTTTTTATTACAGCTTTAGTGTCCTGCCTCAGTGTTGATCTGTTTGATATTTCTCCTCTTCATGATTTCATCTTGGTGAGTTGTTTTGAGGAAATTATTAATTTCTTGTGATTTATCTAATATGTTTCATGTAATTGTTTATAGCATTGTCTTATTATACTTTATGTTTATGTTATATCAGCTTTAATGTCTTCTCTTCCATTTATAATTTCCTTTAGTCATCTCTTGTTTTTCCCTTGGTTAATTTAGCCAGAATGAAAAAAAAATTTTTCTTAACAACTCAACTATTAGTTACTTTGATCTTTTCTATTGTCTTTCACCCTTTAATTTTTTTGACCTAATCTTTATAGTTTCCTTTTTTTTTTCTTTTTTGAGACAGAGTCTCACTTTATCACCCTTGGTAGGGTGCTGTGACATCACAGCTCACAGCAACCTCCAACTCTTGGGCTTAGGCGATTCTCTTGCCTCAGCCTCCCAAGTAGCTGGGACTATAGGCACCCGCCACAATGCCCGGCTATAGTTTCCTTTATTATGCTAACCTTGTGATTATTTTATTCTTCCTATTTTAAGTTTCTTAGGGATTACAGTTAGATTGTTTACATAAGTAACATATAATTTATGTATGCATTAGGCATATGTCTGTTACCTATAAAATATCTGTGTGGTTTTTGTCTTTATCAATACTACCAATATATGTTCAGGATTTACATTGTCCATACTTGTTTGGATTTATTTTTCTATCTATTTATTTGAGACACAGTTTCATTCATTTGCCCTGGTTGGAGTTCCATGAGATCAGCTCTGTTTACATCTAACTCCAGTCCCTGGATTCAAGTGATCCTCTTACCTCAGCCTCCTGATTAACGTGGACTACAGGCACCTGCCACACTGCCCCAGCTAATTTTTCTATTTTTAGTATAGACAGAGTCGCACTCTTTTTTTTTTTTTTTTTTGAGACGGAGCCTCAAGCTATCCCCCCGGGTAGAGTGCCATGGCATCACGCTCACAGCAACCTCTAACTCCTGGGCTCAAGCGAGTCTCCTGCCTCAGCCTCCCAAGTAGCTGGGACCACAGGCGCCCGCCACAGCACCTGGCCATTTTTTGGTTGCAGCCATCATTGTTGTTTGGCGGCCGGGATGGGGATTCAAACCGCCACCTTAGGTGTATGTGGCTGGTGCCTTAGCTGCTTGAGCCACAGGCGCCGTCGTACTCTTGTTCAGGCTGGTCTTGCAGTCCCGAGCTCAAGTGATCCTATAGCCTCCCAGTGTGCAAAGATTATAGGTGCGAATTGCCTCTGCCTGGCTTCAGGATTTTGTGTGTGTGAGTGTGTATTTGTGTGTATATACTGATTGTCAATTATTATTTTATTCTGTCTATGTAAGTAGTGAAGGAAATAGTCTTAACTTCACAATGTATTTATTGTTTAAATCTATATTACACTTTGTGATTTGAAGGTGATTTTTGAAAAGTTTTTTGATTGTCTCTTTTAGGTAGTCAAATTTTTAATTGTAGTAAAATACATAAAATTGTCATATCAAACTGTTTTAAGTGTTCAGTTTAGTAGTGTTTAGTATATTCATAGTTTTTTTTTAGAGACAGAGTCTATATTCATAGTTTTTTCAATAGATCTTTAGATCATTTTTATGTTACAAAAGTAAAAGCCAATTAAACAACAAATTGTCCTTTCCGTCTCTCTCACACATCATTCTACTTTGTCAGTAAGTTTGACTACTTCATATATTTTATATTAGCATAAGATTATAGTCTCTGTTTCTTTTTGACTATCTTATTTTACTTACCATAATATCCTCTAGGATATTATATAATATATAACATACTACTATAGTATATGTCTAAATGACCTCTCTTAAAGGCTAAAAATATTGTATCCTATTTATATGCCACATTTTATTTTTCTACTCATCAATAAAGGGACATTTGGTTTGTTGTATGTGGTATTTAGTGAAAAATGCTGCAATGTACATAAGTGTGCAAATATTTGTTTCATGTTTGAGTAGGTTTGAGGTCTTTTGGATACACTGATGGAGAACCATGTGCATATTCCTGCTTGTGTTGCCTAATCCTTTGATGTTATATCCAGGAAATCATTCCAGACATTATTGTAATGAAGCCTCCCCTTTATAAATGCTTCTAGGAGTTTAATAGTTATAGGCAGTCTTACATTTAAGTCTTTTTGTATGTTTTTTATTGACATGTCATAATTGTGCATATTTAGGGGATACAATTTGAAGTTTCACATACACAGGGTGTTCATAGCTATTTTAAATTGCAGGTGAACTTTATGGACACCTGAGTATGTTGTATAATATTGAAATTATGGCATTTAGTGTATTACCTCATGCACTTATTTGTTCTTTGTGGTGAGAATATCCACAAGTTGGTCTTGTAACTAATTTATAATATGCAATTTCTTACTCTCTCCACCATTGTCATCTTACCGTGCAATAGGAAACCAAATTCTTTTTTTCTTTGCAATGGTGATTTTCTACTTGTCAACAAACTTCGTCTCCTGTTCTTCTCCTCTCAGTCTCTGGTGACCATTTTTCTGTGCTCTGCCTCTGTGACATCAATGTACTTTTTTTTTCTTTATAAGTACCACATGATCACTCTTCAGCCTTTTAGCTAAGATCAAGTATAGTCTTCACATATGAGTACAATCATATAGTATTTATCTTTCTTTTTCTTCAGGGTAACGAAGAGAGATTTTATTTAGGAAGTACAAAGAGAAAATTTAGAGCACTTCCAAAGTGAGTTGGAAGTGGGTCCTTCTCATGGAGGAGAAAAGGTGAGACAGATAGTATTTCTCTTTTTGTATCTGGCTTATTTCACTTAGGTTCATATCCTTAAGATCCATCCATGTTTCTGTGACAGTAACATGCTTTGGTTTCTATTGCCCTTTAGTATATTTTGACATCACGTACTATGATGCCTCTACCTTTGTTCTTTTTGTTCAAATTGCTTTGGCTCTTTGGGGTATTTTCAAGTTTAATATAAATTTTAGGGTGTAAAAATTTTATGTGAAGAATGTCATTGGAATTTGGATAGAAATTACATTAAATCTGCAGATCACTTTGCATAGTATGGCCATTTAAAAATCATTTTCCAGCCTGACTCACACCTGTAATCCTAACACTCTGGGAGGCAGAGGTGAATAGATTGCTTGAGTTCAGGAGTTTCAGAGTAGGCTGAGCAAAAGTGAGCTCCTGTCTCTTGAAAAATACCTGGCATTGTGGTGGGTGGCTGTACTCCCAGCTACTTGGGAGGCCAGGGCAACAGGATTGCTAGAGCCTAAGAGTTTGAGGTTGCTGTGAGCTATGACTCTACCACACTCTACCGAGAATGATAAAGTTAGACTCTGTCTCAAAAAAATAAATAAATAGTAAAATAAAAATTATTTTCTAATCCATTAAGATAACTTCATTTATTCCCGTACATTTCAATTTTTTCATCCATGTTTTATAGTTCTCAGTATAGATATCACTCATCTTTATAATTAAGTTTATTTTTATTTTTACCACTGTTGTAGAAAAAGCATTTAACAACATTAAAAACACTCAATGAATTACATATAGTATGCATGTACATTAACAAAATAAAGGCCACTTGCAACAACCGAATGTTTATGTTATCGTGAGCAAAAAAATGCTGAAAGATTTTTCTGTGAGGTGTGCAACAAGGATAACTGTTTTCACCAATGTTCTATCCAACATTGTACTGGGAGTCATTGTGAGACCAATTAGGAAGGAGATAATTTAGGCTAGTCAAATTTGAAAGTAGAAGCCAAATTGTCTCTGTTTGCAGATTAAGTCACCTTAAATTAAAAGAAATACATAAAGACTACACTCCCCATACTGTTAGAACTTTTAAAATATTAATAAACTTACAGAATACAAAATCAATGTAAAAACTAGTAGTGTTTCTCTACATTACCAGTGAACTGAAAAAGAAACATTGAAATTCTATTTGGGAAACTCTAAAAAAAAAAAAAAAGGAACTCCATTTTGAGTTCTTATTGGTGTATAGTGAAAGATAATGTCTAACTTCACTTTGTCTAATGTGGGTTTCCAGTATTCCCAGCCTTATTTTATGAAGAGACTGTCCTCCCCTCACTGAGATGTTTTGAAACTCTTGTTGAGCACAAGTTGACTATATACATGAAGATTTATTTCTGGGCTTTATGCTTTGTTTCATCATCTCTTTATGCAAGAAATAACACACTGTTTTGAATACTTGAGCTTTGTAATATGTGTTAAAGTGAAAAAGTATGATATAGTATTATAAGTTTGTTTTTCAGTATTCTGTGGTTTTTTGTTTGTTTTGATTTTTTGAGTTTTCATATACATTTTAGACTATTATGACATTTGTGCAAAAAGTTTATTTGTGATCTTGGCAGAGATTTTTAAAAAATCTGTAGGTCATTTTTGGTAGCATGGACATCATGCTACCAAATAACAATATAATCAACAATATTAAAACTTTTAGCTCTTTAAGAAAAGTGTTTTCAATACTTTTTGTTCGATTTCCACATAGTTGTATCACTTCTCTTTTGGTTTTTACTTCTACTTTTATTCTAGTTTCTATTTTATTTTCTATCTTATAGTTTCTGTTGTTATCAGAAAATATCCTATGTGTAATTTTTTTTATTTTTGAGACAGAGCCTCTAGTTCTTGCTCCTAGTAGAGTGCTGTGGCGCCATAGCTCACGGCAACCTCAAACCCCTGGGCTTAAGCGATCTTCTTGCCTCAGCCTCCTGAACAGCTGCAACAACAGGGGCCTGCCACAATGCTCAGCTGTTTTTTAGACCCAGAATCTCACTCTTGCTCACATTGGTCTTGAACTCAGGAGCTCAAGGGATCTACCCACCTCAGCATCCCAGAAGGTTGGGATTACAGCCTGAGCCACTGCGCCTGTCCCTTCTTTGTGTCATTTTTATGTGCTAAAATTTGTTGAGACTTATGAGGCTTAAAAGGTTGTCTTTCTAGCATAACATTCTATTTGTGCTTAAAAATGTGTATTTTCTGTTGAGTGGAGAGTTCAGTATGAGACTTTTAGGTGTAAATTGATCTATAGCCTTGTTCAAGTCTTCTGTTTCCTTTTGTTTGTTTCTTTCTTTTTTTTATTGAATGGTAACTGTGTACATTGATGCACTTCTGGGGTACAGAGTGGTGTTTTCACACACAATCTGAAACACTTCCATGAAACTGGTTAACATAGCCTTCATGTCATTTTCTTAGTTATTGTGTTAAAACGTTCATATTCTACTCATAAAACACTCAATACCCTTGTAAGATAAACCACAAAAGTGAACCCTCCAGTACCCCTCCCTCGACCCATTCCCCCCTCCCCCTCCCTCCTTCCTTTTGTTTCTTTTATTCATATATTTTTCATTATTGAAAGTATGTTATCAGATTACCCTACTATTACTATGCTTCTGTCTTATTCTTACTTCAATTCTGTGAAAGTTGCTTTTTACATTTGGGAGCTGTGATAGTAGGTGCATATCTTAGTAGGTGTTAATAGTAGGTGTTAATTCTTATGACAGCTTCCTGATCAATGAACAATTTTAGCATTATACAGGGTGTCCATAAAGATTGTGTGGAATTTAAAATAGTTTTACATTGTCTGTTGCACACGAACTTTATAGACACTCTGAGCTCAGGAGTTGAAAACCAGATTTGTTTAAAATATATTATTTAAAACATTATTTTAAAATAATGCCCTTTGTTCTCTGTGCCTTTTTTTTTTTTTTTTTTTTTGAGACAGAGTCTCACTTTGTTACCCAGGTTGAAGTGCCATATGCATCAGCCATACTACCTCATAGTAATCTCAGACTCCTGGGTTTAAGTGATCCTCCAGTCTCATCTTGTTAAGTAGCTGGGACCTCCTTGATGCCCAGATAATTTTTCTATTTTTAGTAGAGATAGGGTCTCACTCATGCTCAGGCTTGTTTTCACTCCTGAGCTCCTGCATAGCCTCCCAGAGTGTTACAGTTACAGGTATGAGCCTCCATGACTTGCCTCCTTGTAGCAATTTTTAATGTAGCATATTTTATATAAATGTAAGAGTATGTGATATTGTGTCCAATAACAGTTTTGAATTGTTTTACTTTTAGGCATGTGTGTGTTCTTACATCTAAAAGTGAGTCTTTTATAGAAAAGACTATAGAGTCTTTTATAGAAAGCATGAAGTTGAATTTTATTTTTTTTTCAGATTACTCAGAAAATATGACTTCTGCTGGATTCAGTACATTTATATAGGAAGTAAATACTGATATGGAATGACTAATGCATTTTATTTATTTCTGTAGGCCTGACATCTATTTTCTTCCTTTTAAAACTATCTTTCTGGCTTGACGCCTATAGCTCAACTGGCTAAGGCGCCAGCCACGTACACCTAAGGTGGCAGGTTCGAATCCCCAGCCCGGACCCGCCAAACAACAATGACGGCTGCAACCAAAAAATAGCCGGGCGTTGTGGCGGGCGCCTGTGGTCCCAGCTACTTGGGAGGCGGAGGCAGGAGACTTGCTCAAGCCCAGGAGTTGGAGGTTGCTGTGAGCTGTAATGCCATGGTACCCTACCCAGGGGGACAGCTTGAGGCTCTGTCTCAAAAAAAAAAAAACAAAAAAAAACTATCTTTCTAGTGTTTTGTTGGTTTTTGTAATGACATGTTTTCATTTTGTTCTTGTTTCCTTTTGTTCATATACTAATATCTTTGTTTTCTTTTAAACTGTAGGTGCATTGCTGTGTTTATCTACTCTGGATATTTTCTTTATAGTTACCATAGATATTATATAAAACATCTGAAAATTGTGAGAAATGTTTTTAAGATGAAAACTTTAATTATATACAAATCCCTGCCTTTGACATTGTGTTGATGTCAGAAATTGCATCTTTTTGTGTGCAATTTTTTTTTTTTTTGCAGTTTTTGGCTGGGGCTGGGTTTGAACTCACTGCCTCCGGCATATGGGGCCAGCACCCTACCCTTTTGAGCCACAGGCGCCACCCTGTATGTAATTTTTGTCTTTAGCACAAATTTATGGCTTTTTTTTTTTTTTTGAGACAGAGCCTCAAGCTATCCCCCTGGGTAGAGTGCTGTGGCATCACAGCTCACAGCAACCTCCAACTCCTGGGCTCAAGCGAGTCTCCTGCCTCAGCCTCCCAAGTAGCTGGGACCCCGGGGCCCACCACAATGGCTGGCTATTTTTTGGTTGCAGCCATCATTTTTGTTTGGCGGGCCGGGTTGGATTAGAACCTGCCACCTTAGGTGTATGTGGCTGGCGCCTTAGCCAGTTGAGCCACAGGCGCCGAGCCAATTTATGGCTATTTTAAAGGCCTTTTAAAGTTTATAGCAGAATTAAAAGTATTTTACTCACCATCATTATGATAACACAGAATACTGTATGTATGCATATAATTCCATTTATCATAGAACGTTATGCATTCACAGAAATATGTGGGTAATTTACTTTTTAATATGAAAAACTGACTGTCTTTAGCAATTTGTGTACGGTATGTCTCAGGGGCCTAAATTTTGTAAAGGATTTTTTTTTTTTTCTTAGAGACAGAGTCTCACTTTATTGCCTTGGGCAGAGTGCCATGGTGTCACACAGCTCACAGCAACCTCCAACTCCTGGGCTTAGGTGATTCTGTTGCCTCAGCCTCCTGAGTAGCTGGGACTACAGGCATCCACTACAATGCCCGGCTATTTTTTTGTTGCAATTTGGCCGGGGCCAGGTTTGAACCCACCACCCTCGGTATATGGGGCTGGCGCCCTATCCACTGAGCCACAGGTGCTGCCCAAGTTTTGTAAGTGTTTTTAATCTTTGCGATATTTTGTTTTGAACTAATTTTGAAATGACAGTTTTGCCAGAAATAGTGTCCTTGGTTTGTATTTGTCATTTTTTTCTTTTTTTCAGCATGTTGAGTATATCATCCTTCACCTTTCTGGCCTGCAAGGCTTTTTTGGTAAAAATATCTGATGATCATCCCATACAAGTACCCCTATATTCTCCAACTCACGTTTTTCTTGTTGATTTCAGGATTCCGTTTGTTTGCAACTTTTAAATTTTTAATTGCAACGGGTCTTCTTTTGGCTTTCTTTGTGCTGTTCCTAGTTTAGAGTGAGCTCACAGTATGAGAAAGTTCTCAGACATTTCTTCATGTAAGCTCCCTGCTCATATTTATATTCTCTCATTATAAAACACTTACTATGAATATTTTGGCATGCTTAATGGCAACAAGGTCTTTTTTCTTCCTTCCCATTTTCTCTATTCCTTTTGTTCTCTTGACTGTAATTTCAAATGGCTTATTATCAAGCATGCTCATTTTTTTTCTGCTCATTAGATCTGCTGTTGACCTTACCTAGTATATGGTTAAGTTCATTTCATTTCTTTTTGAGATCCATACTTTATGTTTTGGGGGATTTTCTTTCATTTTTTTTCTTTTTATTTTTAATCTCTTTGTAAGTAATCTCAGGTTTTAGGCCTTGTTTTCCTCTTTAATTTAGTCGTCTGTGTCCTCATTGACCTGATAGAGCTACATTAAGACTGATACTTTAAATACTTATAAAATTACTTCATAAATCCTCCTTTATTTAAGTTCACTTGATTTTTTTTTCCTTTTCATTAGAATGTAATTGTTAGTTTCTTTGAGATCTCAATTTTTTTTTTTTTTTTGGCTGTGGCTGGGTTTGAACCCACCACCTCTGGCATATGGGGCCAGTGCCCTATTCCTTTGAGCCACAGGTGCCACCCTGATATCTCAATTTTTACTGAAATTGTTCTCATTTAGAAAACAACTATTCTATCCTTGCTTTATTCAGGGGATATTTGGCACTGACCAGCCATGCTAGATATTTGGAACACTTTTCCAAACTGTTGGCAGGATGTGTGTTCTCTGGAATACTTTGTATATTTTCCCACTAAAATGGTTTACCTATTTCTTGTAAATACTCCTTAACCTTTATCTTCCATCGTGAATTCCCTAAGCTCTGCAGCCTCTGTTGTTATAGTGTTTAGTCATCTTTGTTCTCACTGGACTCAGCATGTCATTTAAATTATATTTCCATTTCTTTTCAGCACTGCATAGTAAAAGAAGCAATAACCAGTCTTTCAAAAGCCCCAGAGAAACCCAAGACTTTGGATATGAGATTGGATTACGTGTTCAGTCAAATATTTCTGAAGACCAGAGACTTAAAAGTGAAGAGGATATTTCTAAATGTGATCGATTTGATGTGTCCTTTATTAAAGCTTTATTATCCTTCCACCAACAAATACTATCGTCAAATGCCAGAATGTACAAATGTCATCAATATGGCAAGGTGTTTACCCAGTTACCACTGCTTAATCAATATCAGGAAATAAATAATTGGAAGAAACATTACACATTCAATAAAACTTTGATGTATTTTATCCAGAGCTTTACCCTAAATAATTACCAACATATTGATGTTAATATGAGAAATTATCAATGCAAGAAACCTGAAAAATTTGTAAACCTGGTCTCATGCTCTAGAAAATATCAGAAAGCTCAATATCCAGAAATCCAGTATAAATGTGAAAAATGTGAGAAAGTCTTTCACCAATGTTTAAAGCTTATTAGCCGTGAGGATATTCATAGTCAAGAGTTTTCCTACAAATGTAATAAATGGGTTGAAGCTTTTTCCCAGACAGGGAATCATTCTCAAAATCAGAGAATTCATATTGGAGAAAAATCATACAGACGTAATAAACGTAAGAAAGTCTTTATTCGGTCATCTGATCTAAGAATACGCAATATAAACTGTACTGGAGAAAGCCTCTACAAATGTAAAGAATGTGGCAAAATCTTTAACCTTAATTCACTCCTTACTCAACATCTAAGAATTCATACTGGAGAGAGACCCTACAAATGTAGAGAATGTGGTAAAGCCTTTACTCAGTTTTCACATCGTAGACAACATGAGAGAATTCACACAGGAGAAAAGCCCTATAAATGTAAAGAATGTGGTAAAGCCTTCACTCAGATTGCACATCTTAGACAACATGAGAGAATTCATACTGGAGAGAAACCCTATAAATGTGAAGAATGTGGCAAAGCCTTTATCTATCGTTCAAAATTTATTCAGCATCAAAGAATTCATACAGGAGAGAAGCCCTATAAATGTAAACAATGTGGTAAAGCCTTCACTCGGATCGCACATCTTACAACACATAGGTTAATTCATACTGGAGAAAAACCCTACAAATGTAAAGAATGTGGTAAAGACTTTACTCAGATTGCACATCTTAGGACACATGAAACAATTCATAATAGAGGGAACCAATATAATTGTGAAGAATGTGGCAAAGCCTTTAACTATCGTTCACACTTTATTCAGCATCAAAGAATTCACACAGGAGAGAAACCCTACAAATGTAAAGAATGTGGTAAAGCCTTTACTCAGCTGGCACATCTTAGAAAACACGAGACAATTCATACTAGAGGGAAGCCATACAAATGTAAAGAATGTGGCAAATTCTTTATCAAGTCTTCCAAGCTCAGGTGCCATCAGAAAATGCATAATAAAAAGAAGTCCTACAAATGTGAAGAATGTGGCCAATTCTTTACCTACCCAGCAAGTTTTAAAAAACATCGGATAGTTCATACTGTATAGAAACCCATGTGAATGTAAAAAATATGGTGAAGCCTTTTTTAACTTTCAAATCTTAGACAACATGAGAGAATTTTTACTGGAGAGAAATGCAAATGTGAAGAAAATGGCATATCCTTTACCCAGTCTTCAAGGCTTAGACAACATCAGAATATTCATAATGGAGAGAAACCCTACAAATGTGAGGGATGTGACCAAATCTTCTACTATAGTTAGTTAACACCTTACTGAATACCAGAGAATTTATACTACAGAAACCCTATAGATGTAACATAAGTGAAGAGGGTTTTATCCCAAATATACAACTTAGAAATCACCAGAGAGTTTATAGAGAAAGAAAACTTACAGGTGAAATAAATGTGCAGAAGTATTTAATCAAAACTAAGTGTTGGCTCGGCGCCTGAGGTTCAAGCAGCTAAGGCACCAGCCACATACACTAGAACTGGCAGGTTCAAATCCAGCCTGGGCGGTCAAACAACAATGACAACTACAACCAAAAAATAGCTGGGTGTTGTGGCAGGCACCTGTAGTCCCAGCTAGTTGAGAGGCTGAGGCAAGAGAATCGATTAAGCCCATGAGTTGGAGGTTGCTGTGAGCTGTGATATCATGGCACTCTACCCAGGGCAACAGCTTGAGGCTCTGTCTCAAAAAAACAAAAACAAAAACAAAAACTTAAGTCTCAATGGATCAGGGAATTCTTACAAGTAAAAATCAAATACACTTTCAGATTTTACGCTAACCTGGAGTATTTCTTATGGAAATGTAAAGAATAGTGTAAAGGAAAAGCAATTAGATAATTTTTCAAAAGATACAGAACATTGGTTTTTGGACAGGTATAATTATATCCTATGGGTACTTTGTATTGATGGTGTTTAAAATTCTTGAAAAGCAAATATTGATGCAATTCAGATTTCAATTGTGTTGATGCTTTACCTTCAGCCTTAATGTTTATGTGAAAATACATGATCTTTTGTGTCTGCAGCAGATGTATGAGAGGTTATTCAATGTTATGTGAATGTGATTATCCATTTCTCCTTGAAAGCTTAATGGCAGATGTAAAATACATTAAGAAACTCTAAAGAAAGATTTTTTTGTGTTTGAATTATAAAACAATGATGCATGTAAGCATATAGTATGTTATCAGGACATTTTTCTTTTACATTGAAGTAAGAGAGAAACATTCTATTATTAAATTTTCAAAATAAAATTATTTTACCAATTTCTCCCTAAACATGAAAAACTGGACAATTAGTTAAATGATATTTACATATCAATAAAGTGGAATAAAATGGAAATCTTGAATATTATTCAATGTGATAGAGGACATCAAATGTTACTTGATGTAATGGACATAAAAATATTTTAACAGATATGAGAGGAAAATGAAAACAAGTCCTTACATGGAAGGTTGCATGTGTATTCAAATCAGTGTACACTAAGCCGGGCACAGTGGCTCATGCCTGTAATCCCAGCACTCTGGGAGGCTGGGGCAGGTGGATTGCTTACGCTCAAGAATTTGAGACCAGCTTGAGCAGGAGTGACATCTTGTCTCTACTAAGAATAGAAAAACTAGCCAGACATGCCAGGTGCCTGTAGTCCCAGCTACTCAGGAGGCTGGAGCAAGAGGAATGCTTGAGCCCAAGAGTTTGAGGTTTCTGTGAACTACGAGGATGTTATGGCACTGTAGCATCAGTGACAGATGACTCTGTCTCAAACAAACAAAAAAACCCCCTACCTGTATACACTAAATAATTATCAACCAATAAAATGAAAGCATAAATCTAAGGTCACTATATTAGACAAAAAATAGACTTCTGAGTGCTTGTGACCAAGGAGCATGTAGTAGATTTTACATGTATGGCTTAAAGTTTTGATTAGTAAAAGTCAATGTTTTTTAGTGTTTTCACACTGATGTGCTATAAATGAAATGTTATTCTGTCACTAATGTTAAACTATCTCATCTTGTCCAAGATTGCAGTTAACAGATTAAAATAATGCATGATTTGGATAACACAGTGGAATAACTTTTTTAGTAATCTTTTTCCTGAGGACTTAAATTTTCAATAATTTGGAGAATATTGTTATACTTACTATTTTGTGTCCTTTTTTTTGTATCTAAGGGGATGCTAATACAGTTATAATAAAGATTATATGCGAGTAAAGGCATACCTTTGAATTCTAAGTCAGTATAAAATTTTCCTTTGCACATGACCTTTTTCTGGATCAATTGAACACAGATATAGTTTGTTTTTATTTATATTGAATGCAGTGTACAATATATCAGCATAAAAGTGAACTTTGTGCAAGAGAACTATAAATGAAGAAATGCATGTTTGTGTGTACCTGTCTTCAGAAGGAAATGGAAATGGTGAAAAAAAAAAACAGATTAGAAGAGTTGATTGTTCACAGGCAAACTAGATCTTTCAGTTTCTCACACTTAGTTTCTGTACACTAAATTTATATCTCACAAATCTCATGTCTTCAAAGTACAGAATTCTCCCACACAGTCTTTTTTTTTTTTTACTTGCTGCCTGATCAGTTAAAGTATTTTGATTTTCTTGTCCTTGAAATTGTTGAACATAGAGGGAGTGTCACAGGCTCACACTTTAGGCTGGGGCAACCTCTACCCTTTAAGAAGCACAAAACAGGCTCGGCGCCTATGGCTCAAGTGGCTAAGGTGCCAGCCACATACAACTAAGGTGGTGGGTTTGAATCCAGCCCGGACCTGCCAAACAACAATGATGGCTGCAACCAAAAAATAGCCTGGTGTTGTGGCAGGCGCCTGTGGTCCCAGCTACTTGGGAGGCTGAGGCAGGAGACTCGCTTGAGTCCAGGAGTTGGAGGTTGATGGGAGCTGTGATGCCACAGCACTCTACCCAGGGGGACAGCTTGAGGCTCTGTCTCAAAAAAAAAAAGAAAGAAGAAGAAGCAGCATAAAACAGCAGGATAAGTTTCCATCTGCATCTTTTCAGTATTCAACTTACCCACAAAACTAACATGGATGTGGAGTTTTTTGTTTGTTTGTTTGTTTGTTTGTTTGTTTTTGCAGTTTTTGGCTGGGGCTGGGTTTGAACCCACCACCTCTGGCATATGGGGCTGACGCCCTACTCCTTTGGGCCACAGGTGCCGCCCAGATGTGGAGATTTTTATATCCTTTTATAACAAGAATTCTTCATTTATCTTTTGTTACCTTTATTTCAGCTGTAACTTGCTTTTGTGGCCATTTGCAAACCTACTAACTGGCCAATCCACTGTTAATACCTCATGATGATCTTCCTTACAGGTCACAGGTTGTCTAGTCCCCGGCATTTTAGGAATATCCTTTTTTTTTTTTTTTTTTTTTGAGACAGAGCCTCAAGCTGTCCCCCTGGGTAGAGTGCTGTGGCATCACAGCTCCCAGTAACCTCCAACTCCTGGGCTCAAGCGAGTCTCTTGCCTCAGCCTCCCAAGTAGCTGGGACCCCAGGTGGCCGCCACAACGCCTGGCTATTTTTTGGTTGCAGCCGTCATTGTTGTTTTTGGCGGGTCCGGGCTGGATTCAAACCAGCCACCTTGGGTGTACGTGGCTGGCGCCTTAGCCACTTGAGCCACAGGCGCCGAGCCAGGAATATCCTTGTATTCAGCATTCCATGTGCATCTCACAAATGAGTCATACCTCTCTAAATAGATGAGGAGCAACACCCCAGATGTCCCACTCCAATATTTTCTTCCCCTTTGGTTACTGGAGTTGTGCTGGCTAGCTCAACTCAGTTGTTTTGTGAAAGGTCTATATATCCAAAGTGAGGCCCAAATTGAGAGTGAGCCAAGAAATCAAGTAATGAGGCAGGCAAAGTTCTGTTACAGTCAAGGGTGATTTGGGGAACTTGTGGGCATGGTCATGGGTGCCAAGAAGAACAGGTAGACTTCCATGCAGTTACACCCCAGATACAGGCTTATACACTACAGAAAAAGGTGCATAGCAATTAAAGTTGGCCTACCAGGAAAAGACAAAAATGCCAGGGCCATGTCTTCATGGCCTGCAATTTGTGTGATAACATCAAGATTGTTTTGACCTTGACCAAATTGCTGGTTGAGAGTTTTGACTGGCTGCTCTGAGCCAAAGGGCACAGTTTATGGCAAGATGTGCTCTTACAGGAACAGTTAGTTGATAAAGTAAAAGTGTGAGTCATTCCCCAAATGGGTTAATGAGAAGTCAACATGGCATATTAGTAAGGTGACCAGATTTTAACATTGGTAAAGTGGGACACCATGGGGGGGGGGAGCTGGCAACAATGCAAACTTTGGTAAGCAGTTCTCTATAATCAGTTCTCAACAATCATTTCTTACTGTTAAAGTTTAACATATAAAATTAACGAAAATAATATAAAACACATATCCTGGTGAAATAGCCACATGGCAGCTGAAAAACGTATATCCCTTTCCTATTCTCCCGTGTTCCCTAGCTTGTGGTGCATTCTTTCCAAAAATCAGGGCTTTTTAAAAATGCTGCAGGACGTAGGACAAATTGTTAAAAATCAGGACTGTCCCGCCAGAAGCCGGAAGTCTGGTCACCTTGCTCAGGGGCGGGGGGCTACTTGTTTGTTCCAGACAGTTTGGCTCCTTCTGAGCTGACGTCTTTGCCTAGAAGCAAGGGAGGGAGCCAGTCTCCTTCTGATACCTTGCCCAGGAGGGGAGTAGGGAGTTTACATTAGCCTTTTCATTTCCAAATGAAGTTATATTAACCTCTTTATTCCCAAATGGAGTTACATTAACCTCTTCATTCCCAAATGGAGTTACATTAACCTTTTCAGAAGCTGAAAACCATTCCCTTCCCATTCTCCCACTGTTCCCTAGCTTGTCATGCATTCTTTTCAAAAATTGGGACTTTTTAAAAATGCCACAGGACACAGGACAAATTGTTAAAAATCGGGACTGTCCCTCCAAAAGCGGGACATCTGGTCACCTTACATATTAGTATTCAAGAAGGAGTTACTTTGGCCTCTACAAAGCTTCCTCTCTTCGTTCACTTCAGAACAGCCAAGTCAAAACTCTCAATCAGTAGTTTGGATCCATTGGATAAATAAAAGAGAATTCCATTTGTACAAATCCCCATTTTTGTCCAAATTCTTCATTCTGTTTCCACTTCTCAGATTAAGTTTCAGAACACTTAAAAATTCTCACCAAATCAAAAAACAGGCACTAAGCCGTGTCTGCTCCTCTGGAGGTGGGGGGGGGGTGGTAAGGGTAGAGAAAATGGCAAGGTTGAAAGAGGAACTGGGCCAGGGGTGTGTGTGCTGTGCCTTCTCAGAGAAAGGTTACTTTAAAAATACAAGTCACCAGCCACGTCGAGTCTGGGCTAACCGGAGGAGAGATGAGTTTGTTCATGGACAGGTCAGAAGGACAGAGGGGGAGGAAAAGGCAGGGCTGGGAAAGGTAATAGAGAAGGATGAAAGGAAA